GGCGTCACAGTGTACGTGAATCCCTTCACCTGGTAGTTGCCTACCTTTTACAGAACGCTCTTAGTTATTTCCACCATCTGAGCACTAGACCAGGAGTGAATGGATGGCGTCTGAACCAGGGACCCGGCTCTTGTGGAAGGTAAGTAGGGTCTTGGACCTCCCTAGTGGAGGCAGAAGGTGTAGAAACAGCTTTACGGGAAATAGTGAACTATACTGAGGATTATTGGAAGGTATGTTATTAAGGTATCCATACCAAACGGCCATGGGTTTGTGGCTCCATCACTAATTTGTTACGAGATCTTGGTTTTCCTACGTGCCTCCGTTTTCCCCATATCCAAAATGAGAATAACCATCGCTGATTCACATCATCGTAAAGATAAAATGAGATTAAATAACACATGAAAATACACTGTAAGAGTGTGAGTGCAACATATCACTATTTGGCTGTACCTTTGTGGCATCTGGAATCTATTTCAACCCAGACTCAGCTCCCCAGACACATACTTCTTAAACAGGCTCATGGGAGCTTCTAGCCCATCCTTTCTTCTAATGAAATCACATTTTTCTTTCTCTATCACGGAACTCAACCATCACAGGCTCCACTGCACAAGGTGGAAGATAGTGAGAAAGCCACAGCTGACCAGTTGTCCTGGCCCACGCACCACAGTTTCACCTAGTTTCTGCTGCACAGAGATTTTATCTATTCTGGGATCCATTTTGCTTTTTTTTTTTTTTTTAATTGTAGTAAAGTATACATAACAGAAATCAGTTTGCTTTATAAAAACAAAAACCAGATATTTTTAAGGTACCCTTGCTTTATTTAAAATCATTCTGATTTTAATAATTTTATATAAGGAGAATATAATAAAGATCTAAAGGAAAAACTTTCTTAGATGAGGAACAAAAAGTCACATTTTTGTAGAGAAAATTAAAGGGGAGACATTCCTCAGGCCTGATTTCCTTGGCAGTGACAGCAAAATCTATTCACGTCTCGAACATTTCACAGAGCTATCGCACCTTGAACCTTCTGCACGGATTCTACTTCAGGAGAATCCACTTATTTGGACCTTAATATGGTTTTGGGCCAGAAGAAAAAGGAATTTTTAAAATTATTCTCCAAGGTCTGTAGTGAAGGTAGAACTGATGTGGGAACTGTGAGGAGCAGTTTTGCCTGGGGATGCAGATTATGAGCGAGTAAGTGAAATATCATTGTTTGTTTGTCATCGATAATGACAGAGTAAATGAAGATCAAAAGAGACAAGGCACACAATGCGCTGGAGACAGTGCCCGGCAGTCAGTATTATTATTTGTACTATTATTAATATTAACACCCACTGTTAGGAATGACAGGAATACATAACAAAGCTAATTCTTACAAATGAAGAGCATCCGTGCACATGTTTAGCCTCCGATCATATACGCACAAGGCTTTATGCCAAATCCCAAGACTATAAAGAAATGTGAGAAGAATGACCTGCTCTCCAGAAGTTAAAGACTTTGCAGAAATTGTAGATATACACTGAAAAAACAAACCTGAGATGGCTAAATTTCAGCAGGCAAAAAGTGCTACAAGAATTTAAGGGAACTCATTTCTCTAAGAATATTTTTAATACTTTTTCAAAGTCTAATTTCTTTGATAATATGTAACTGGGACAATTTTTTAAAAGTCATCTCTCTGAGTCTCGTAGCTTTAAAGGTTATAAAAGTGACCAAAAAATGCCCGTACAGATAGCCAGAGCGCATCCCAGCAAGACTCATGGAAGACTGTTTGGAGGATGTTAAATGCCTAATAAGGATTTCCTGAAAGTATCTCTGTTTTCAGAAAGCAAGCAACCATCATCGAGGCAAATAGCATTCCTTAGATCACTCTAATTTGACTTCCAGCCCCATTATTCCATCAAAACAGCTTTCACTGAGGTCTTGATGAGATCCCCATGCCACTGAATCCAGGAGAGCCAAGAATCAAGCCGGAGAGACACAAGGTCAGGGCAATACTTAAAATCACACTGAGAACTGGCTGGGTGGGGCCCTCACTGCTACCACTGCTGAGCACAGAAACTTCAACGTTTGTTGACTGTTAACATATCAACCACATAATTCTATTTAAAATACTTAAATAGCTCCTGCTGGTGTTCTGCAATTCTTCATGAAATAAGCACACTGCCTACCGAAATTGGCACTGTCATGTGAAGGTAAGCCTCCGGTGGATCTCGCAGTTTCTGTAGAGAATGCAGAAGAATCCACAGATGTGTACCTCTCCAGAACCTATGAGCCTGTAAATGTTGACTGAATGCTTATCCCTTCAAGCTTTCCAGAGAGTTTCTTACTTTCTTAATTCAACAAAAACCTTAATGGTCCATTTCCAAATAACCCAGAAGCCTTCCAAAAGCAAAGTACTATGCAGCCACCAACGTTCCTGTAATAACAGACTATTCTGTACTTACCTTGCATTATGTTCTTAAAAAGATGTAGAAGGTATAATTTGAGTACAAAATTCAAAATCTATGTTGTGCATTTGGGATTCCTATGCTCTTTTTCTGGTTCTGAAAAGGAAGTGACAGTCCAACCATCATGAGCATGGCTCTTATCCATTCACCTGAGTCCACTGTTGTCACATAAGAAATCTGTATCTTAAACAGGACAGGGCCGAGGAGAATCATTTATGCAGAAGGACTCATATCTACCCTCAACAGCCCTTAAAATCATGCCTTTGGAATTTACTTATACACAGAAGCAAAATTGTCAACCTGTTTTATATAAATTCCTGTATTTTAATCCTAATCATTAAATTATAAAATATCCTAAGTAATAATAATTTTTGTTAATTGGTAATGATGGCTACCTAAATTCAATATAGCAAAAAAAAGTCACTCTAAAACTTTCTCACAATATAAAAATCAGTTTGAAGCTATTTGTCAGGATTTCCTATAATGTAAATCTTAAATTGAGCTAATTGAATATAGTGCAGATAAAGATTATTTTAATCTCTTAATGATAATATAAATCTTCCTTTAAGACCTGTTATAATCTGGCATGATTATGACTATAAAGAACAGGCTCATTGACTCTGAAAGCAAATTACTGATTAAACGGTTTTAGCTGGTTCTCCTTGAAAAGGCTCCAAAGCATATAAGTTTCCAACAATCACTGTAATGACCGATGTAACTTTTAACAAGCATTTACCTTGCAGCATCTGCTACCTGTCAACTTTTATGAAATCACTATGTTCAACCAGTCAGTTGAAAAAAGTAACCAAGTTCTTTTTATAGATATTAATAGCACCAACGTATAGGTGAACTTCCCATCAAAAGGAACCTCCTGTGGGCAATTGAACTTGACCAGGCTCTCATTTCCATGCTTCTTAAGTACATAAACTATTGACTCATGCATGTAGTTGAATCTATATTTAGTGAATCTTACTACAATATTCTTATGCCAAATTTTCTCTTACATTCTCCAAAGCAGTGGTTCTCAAAGTGCGGTCCCTGGGCCAGCAGTATCAGCATTATCTGAGAACTTGTGAGAAATGAAAATTCTCAGGTCCCACCCCAGAACTGAACCAGAAATTCTGGGGTGGGGCCCAGAAGCACGTGTTTCAACAAGCCCTGCAGGTGATTACAATGCAAGCTAAAGTTTGAGCACCTCTGCTCTGCAGCGAAAAGATGTTCTCTTGCTATAAAGAAAAGTTTTTATCCCTTACTTTGGGGCAGTAGATTTTGTAGAGTCCTGTGTCTCCAAGCCCAAGATACCATCATACTTTATAGAATAAACAGGAGTTCTTTACAGATGGTACCAATTTTTTTAAAAATTTCATTTAATAAAGACTTTAGAATATGGCATATTCTTGATAAATGTGAAAATATTGATATGTATTTAACTAAAAATTTGTGTTGTAAGGGAAAAATGTGGTTATTTAAAACAGTATGATATTACAGATAAAAATGGATAATGTCTTGTCTGTTATAATTTCAACAGATTCTTCCCTATAATCAAAGTCAAAGAAAATACGGCTGATTCCAACCTTTGCCCTTAAGTATTTCATGGGTCCAGAACTCGGAGCTTGTGCCATTTCTACAACTAGACCTGTGTCCTCATGACAAATGAATGAACAAAGTAGGTAACAGATATTCCTATATAAAGGACTTCAAGGGCAAACTGGTGAGGTTATCCCAACAAATGCATTGAGAAGGACTGGTTTATTTTCCCAATAACCCCCATGGTGTGGTCTGTGTTATCAGAAAGGCTAAAAACCTTAAAAAGTAGAGAAAATAAATGGAGTTGATTATAAAGATAGGCACCTCAATTTCTACACAAATGCATACTAGATACTAAGAGTAAAGCTTTGGGCAAAACAATATTTTCCCTCTTTTCCACCAGAAAAAAAAAATAGGGATCAAGTTTAGGGTATGATGTATTTTGATTATTCTTTTAAAATTTTTCTTAATTTCATTTTAATAACATGCATTTCCTACCTTATATAATTGTTATTCCATGCATCACAAGGCTGTGGGTCTCGAATTTTCCCGTTTCCCTTTGGGGTTTTGTAAAGCCCACATTTAGAGTGTGAAGTAACCAAGGTAGTGTGATTCCCACTTTACAGCAGATTTCCCACTGGAATGCTAATCTTTTGAGAATTTTTAAAATTTAAGGAAAGAAAATACTTTTATAGAGCAACACAGAACTTGCATGAATAATTCATATTTCACAGATGTCACTGTCATTCTGGATAAAACACTTTATATTCTTTTTTAATGCACTTCAAGACAATGATAGACTGTGCACTTGTCAAAGTTTCAGTTATCTTAAGAGGGAGGTCATGATGCATCAAAAAAATGAGAAACGTCATAGCCTGAGTTCATAAAATAATTTGGCTGAAATAAATAACAGCAGTACTTATACTAAATTTATCTACCCAACTGCTGACAAAACCCATTAAATCAACTTCACAAAGCTGTTCTAATTGAAATTTATTTACGTTAGAGGAAATCCGAGTGTAATACCTGAGACTGTGCATTGATATTGGCTCCTTCCTTAACCAGAACTTTGACAACTTCTGCTTGTCCAGCCAAAGACGCAATGTGAAGAGCAGTATTTCCCTTCTGTTTTGGAGAAACAAAGTAGAAAATGTTAGGTTTCCAAATTTTGTAGAAATTAAAAGGTACAGGCATTTTCAATTTTGCTGATTCTTTCAACTGGTTAAAACTTATCATTCTATCAAAATAGTAGCCCACCTTGGGAAGGGATAATTTTTTATGGTTAAAACCCATATAGTGTCTTTCTTTTCTATCCTTCACAATTCCAGTGTAGTGTTAAGAACATTCAAAGACTGAGTTCTCATTGAATCAAATAATTTGGGATGTGTGTGCATGAGTGTGTGTGTGACAATATCACCATTCATGTGATTTAACCAACAACTAAACAGTCCCATCCCAAGGTAAAGTTAACTAAAAAAAAAAACTTTACTGAACCATTGAGCTCATACCACCTTGCGGAGAAACCTACAGATTTTAAGTGGTAGAGAAACTGACTTAACTCACAGTTGTATTTCCAGCCACTAGAGCACATGGTTGTTCAAAATATTTGGGGAATGAAATACTACATTTTACAGAAACTATAACGTTACTGATGATTTCTACCATATGCTATATCAAAATTTACCATCCACAGGACCAAACATAAATGAAAAATAATTTAAACTTTTCATGAAAAGAAAATATAGATGAAAAGAAAATATAGAAAAAAAGAAAATTATGATGTGACTAAAATAAATAAAAGGAAAAAATGAAAAAAACAGAAATCTGTAGATTCAGAGCCATAAATCATGGACACTAGTTCTCTTTCTGTCACCAACTCACTATGGGGCCTTCAGCCACTCACTTCCTATTTTGAGGGCTCAGCTGCCTTCTTTTTAAATGAGATTTTTTTCCAGATCTAAAATTCTACAATTGTAATCTATGATGTAAAGTGAATCTATATTTCAAAATATCAATAGAGTTTAAAGGAAAGGAAATGATAAACAAGCAACCAAAAAGTAGTTGGTTTAATGAATATATTATACTAATTTGGGCAACTCAGAGGAAGCAAATAATTTGATACACATTCAAACTGATATTCTTTAAATATTCTTTTAACATTTATTTGACGTGTCCAAGAGAAATGTTAATAAAAGTGTTCATTCTGGTATTACTCATGGCTGAGACTAGCAAAGAAAAATTTATTTACCCTTTCCATACTTCTCATTTCTCATTTAGTATTGAGACAACGTTTTCCTTTGATGGTTCACAGGCATTAAGCTACATACATTCATACTCTCGGTTTGTACATTCAATCTAGAGGTTCTAGAGAAATAGCAACTTTTCATAAACTTTTTGGTTATGACATACAATATGAGGGTTTAAATGTTTTGATACATTTGAGATTACCAAGAGAATTTCTTCAGTTGTAAAACAGAGCCCAGTTCAACATAATCATATATGCAAATATTTTAATCTATTGATTTCAAAATATTTTAAAATAATGATTTATCAACAAAATAAATGCACATACACACACACACACACATTTGAAATGAAGTAGGAGACACAGACATTTAAAATACAAGGCCAAGGGTCTGGCCTGGGACGTAGTGGTTAAGTTTGCACACTCTGCTTAGGCGGCCTGGGATTTTCAATACAGATCCCGGGAGTGGACCTACACACCGCTCATCAAGCCATGCTGTGGCGGTGTCCCACATACAACGTAGAGGAAGACTGGCACAGATGTCAGCTCAGCAACAATCTTCCTCACCAAAGAAAAATGTTCATTCTCTTTTTATGTTCAAAGTAAGGAATTTATTGCATATCATGAACTTACATTTTGACTTCTTTGGAATTGCCAGAGAATTTTTGTTTGTTTTTGTTTTTAAATTTCCACTAGAATTGCTGTATACTACACTATACTGTAAGCAGGGCCAGTCCACATTTTGGCAATTATGCATGAGGTATTGGAAATCCAGGTTAACTGGCCATATTCTTAATTTATTCCAGTACTCTTTTTTCTTTCCTGCTTAGACTAAAGCCCCAGCTGGGGGCTGGAGTGCCTGTCACCTCTCTCTGCATCTCCCACAACCATATTATCACCCTCAGCCCTGGTCAGCAAGCTTGATTCTGACTGGCTGCCAGTTTTTTTTTTCAAATTAAAATTTCACCTTCTAAAGACAAAGACTTGTCACCATTGATGATATGTTTTAAAACATCTGTTGTTTCTGAAATGACTCCCCAAAGATGAGATTCAAATATATTTTAGCAAAAGCATTATCAACAAGGAAGCAACGGTTTCTAGTATACTGACCATCTTGTACATTTCTTTAAAAATGAGTCCAATTTCTTTACAAACCAAGTACAGTGACAAAAATCTAATTTTCCTTTAATTCAATCCATGATCTAAAAAATCTCTTTTCCACTAGAGTATAAAGGATTCTGTATATTCCTTTACCAACTTAAATGAATATATTAAAAGATATAACAATTTAATTAAAGCATGAAAATTACTTGCTCATTTCCACTGAGAAGCTTATTACATCAATTTATTTTTAAAATTGAATTAACTTTAGGAAAACAGGTGCTATCGTTTAAGGAGAATTATATTAATCTAGTCTCTATGTGAATCAAAGGAAAAAAGAAAATATTATACAGAATTCTTCAGTCTCATATCTGAGAAATCTCTAAATGAAACAATTCAAACTCTAAAAAGTTTAATGGAACGGGTTTCAATTTCAGTTCTGTATTGTTAAGAATCTTGGTGTTCCAGCAAACCTCTGAAATGTATAACCAGGGAAAAGAAACTTTAAATGATTTCTTCTTTTCCAGGGAAAAAAATTCTACCAGCACGAACCTTACCTTCGTGGCAGAATCCACGGAGGATCCTCTCCCCAGCAGCTCCTGCACCAGCCCCACGTGGCCCTCTTTGGCAGCCAGATGGAGCGCATTGAGTCCATTCTGAGGAGAGACAAACAAGGCCTCAGAAGTGGAGTAGCAATGAGAGAGACAGTTGCTCACCTAAGGCTAGCATATAACCGCGAGAACAGACAGACTCTGATCTCCTCATTGTTCTTTCTTTTTGTATAAGCTTGATGCTATTAAGTTCAATTCAGAGAGGCAAAGAGGTAAATATTCATCAGAAATGTGGTTTTGGCAACTTCATTCAACAAACTTTTTTTTTTAACTAAGAAACATCTAAATAGTTTTCTAATGAGAGAAAAAAAGAGCAACTCTATATTATTTATTGTGCTAGCCAGAAACAAAATTCTGTCCAGTTTCTAGACCATAGAGAGCTTTAAATCAATTTTTTAACAAATGGAAGAGAAATGTCCTTTTCATAAAAAGTGATTAAAAAGCCATAGGACAATTTCTAAAACAACATAACTTTGCAATGATAATACTATACTTAAAGGACATTTAGCATTATGTCACTAATTTGTCTTGAGATTATTTTTCAAAAATTTAAAATTTATCTTACAATCTCCGATAGTACTATAATATCTGGTTCCCATCTAGCTAAATTCCTAAAAAATTAATTACTCACCATAGCGTTGAAAAAACTCATTGAAAATTTCACTAAACATGATATCTACACATATTATACTGACATAAAGTTTGAAGGCAGATCTTGCCCTAAATACAAGGAGAACCAAATGCAGATGCAAGTTGCTATATGGTAAGTTTCCTGTTTGCGGTCATTGAACATCTTATATTTAATGATTTTCTTATGGAAAGTATTCAGGCTTTTATATTTGACTCAAAAATAAAGCATGGTGCCGGCCCGGTAGCACAGCAGTTAAGTTTGCACGTTCCACTTCAGCAGCCTTGGGTTTGCCTGTTTGGATCTCGGGTGTGGACATGGCACCATTTGGCAAGCCATGCTGTGGCTGGCTTCCCACATATAAAGTAGAGGAAGATGGGCAGAGATGTTAGCTCAGGGCCAATCTTCCTCAGCAAAAAAAGGAGGATTGGCAGCAGATGTTAGCTCAGGGCTAATCTTCCTCAATAAATAAATAAAAAAATAAAGCAATATTTGTTTTTCTTCTTTGCAAAACGTGGTCCTGGTTTCTCACTAACAGTCAACTTTGAGTAGGCGATACAGTTGTACTGTGAATACATGCCTGTCATGGTCTCTATATATTTACATGGTACAAAATAGTAAGAATTAAAGCACTTTTGAAATTTATTATTATATTCCTAGAAAATTTATCAAATGAATCAACAATATAGTAAAAACTTGAAAAAGATGGAATTTTATGATCCCTGGATTCTACCACTATGCAAATAATGTTAACTGTGTTAACTATACACAAATGATTCAACAACTAAAAATTATTTTCACTCCCTTTACCAGACCAAGGAAAGCATTACATTTTAAAGTTGTTTTCTGAGCTAATTATTCAACATCCACTCTCTTTGTAACAGGAAGCACTTAATTTAAATAGATGTAATCTACTTCACAAACAGTCAACTCATTCTGACAGACAGGGAAGAGAAAGCAATGTGGCCACAGGGTAGAAATTTTTAAGGAGATAATTAAGCCTGAAGATATTTAAGAGCCTTTAACTTCCCTGATAGCTTTTTATTCTATATATTCTTCAGCATGACATTTTATTGGTTTTCCTAAGTTGTTTACAGGAAGAAATCTTCAACTCTATATCATGAACGATCACTAAAATGTTTTGGGAGAGTGGATCCATTATTTCAGTCAGTAAGAATCAAATGTTCCAATCACTGGGAGTAGTCTAGATGGCCTAATATCGAAAGAATTTTGCATCTTAAGATGTTTATTGTAAGAAGTTGCCTTCCCTCTTCCTCAATTCCTACCTCTGCCTCCATCCGAGGTTTCAGAACCTGAGAGTTTGAAAAGATCTTTGAGACTGTTCAGGTCAGGGATTTACGGGTGCTCAGCCCCAGGCTGACACAGAGAATCTACTAGATAAATATTGTTGGACGAATGAAAGACTCTACAGAGAGCATAGAGGGAATATTTTGGTAAATATTACATTTGTAAATAATCAAAACTATTTAATATGTTTGAAAAAAGATTGAGTAGTCCCTACAGTTTATAAGCTTTCTGTATATCAGGATTTTTGTCCAAATGGGAATAGAGATAGCAGGTTTGGAGATATTTTTTTCCAGGTGCTTGAGGCCTGCCTGTGGAACAACTGGACTCATTTGCCCAGGAGTTGTTATCGTCTTTCTAAAATCTGATGCCATATAATTTGGTAAGCTCTAACTTGAGGGGCAAACATTTGGCTTGGTCAAATAACAGAATCTCTCCATGGATGACTCCGTGTTAACCCACTCTTTACAAAGTTCCTCTCCAAGACTGAAGAATGGGGAATCGTTTTATTTGCTCTTCTGCAAATCTATCTTTCAGTTTTTAAAAAAAGTTCCTTTTTGCTGACTTTTATATCCCACTAGAATTTTCCCAATAGATCAATTTTACTTTTTAGAAGTTATTTTATCTGATGTCAATGTTTATTTAACTTAAAAAAAAAGTTTAACCTGTAAATTAAAATCACATGTGGAGGGGACATGGAGGATGTCCCACCTTAAGTTCTCTGAAGCCCTTTAACCACCCCAAACAGAGCATGGACTAAGCCCATGGCTTCTGAGCTATAGCTAGTCGAAGGAGGAGAATGAAAAGGAAGAGAAGAAGAAAGCCTTGCCTCGATATGTGCCAGCGATTTCTCTCCTAGTTCTTTAATTTAATATTTCCCAATATCATGTCTCCCTTTCCTGTCATGGAAATATTTTACTATGCAAATCAGCAAATAATATATATCAGGGCTTTTTTGCCCCCCACTCCATCCAGTTGTTAAACATTTACCAGCAATATCACCAATATTAAAACATCAGCCATATTACAAATTTCGTAATGTGGGCAGCTTGTGGGATAAATCTATGGGGAATATTGTTTACATTTTTAATAAAGAATCAAGCATTATTAACTAATCATCAATCCATCATTGTTTAAAATGAATGCTCTAGACTGGCTTGAAAATGATCTCAACAGTACCATTCTGAATGTTACTTTCTACGAATTTAAAGTAAAAGGTTTGAGAATGAAGATGTTTAAAAATGTGTAAAATTTTCTTTGATTCCATGAGTGATCAACTCTCTGAAGTTTAAAGGATTTACAATTCTCTTGCCAGCCTCCCCTCTGACAGATATTTCTCCTTTCACTCCACAGCATTAGCACCACCGAAAACTTGAACTTGCTGTAGAGCAGACTATGAGAACACTAGACTTCCGATTTTCCTATTTCAACAAATATCGACAAAAACTTTTAAAAAAATTGATGAAGGTAACAAGACAGTATCTCAAATAGAATAAAGCTTACACAATCTAAAAACTTACGGAATTCAAATATATACTTAAATTAAACAATTTCAGGAGAAGTTATCCTAAGGAGGACCCCAAGGCCAAACCTTCTTGGTTTACTCCACAGAATTTTCTTTTCATAAATTCATGAATGTTGCCAACCTCATTTTCACACACACACACACACAAAAATTTAAATCTACAGAACAGGATAGAACATTTCCTTAATAATTGGCCAGCTTTCTTCTCAATTAATTACTAGGTTAAGTTAGAAGAATTTTACATGGAAAAAAATATCCTTTTGGGGGGCACAAAGTTCCCACTACAAATCACTGCACTATAGTTGCATTTGATTGAAAAAATCATCAAGAATAAGATTAAAATTTTCTATGTGAGGGAATAGTTCAGAAACCAAACTGCGCACAAGATATAAATGGAATTCAGGATATACATGTCTCTTCAAGATTTCTGTAACACCAGTACTACTCAAACTAGCGTGGTTATAAAGACACAGATGGTGGGTGAAATTCTACTCATAAATGCTGTTAAATTCTTAATCTGCCTTCTTTTAAAATGCAATGAGGGGGCCGGCCCCGTGGCCGAGTGGTTAAGTTCGAGCTCCACTTCGGTGGCCCAGGGTTTCGCCGGTTCCGATCCTGGACGCGGACGTGGCACCACTCATCAGGTCACCCTGAGGCGGCGTCCCACATGCCACAACTAGAAGGACCCACAACTAAAAAGAATACAACTATGTACTGGGGGAATTTGGGGGAGAAAAAGCAGAAAAAAAAAAAAGAAGATTGGCAACAGTTGTTTGTTAGCTCAGGTGCCAATCTTTAAAAAAATAAAAAATACAATGCAATGAAAGTGGGACTGCCATCATGTTATTGAATTCACGTCCTTCAGATGTAGGAAACAGAAGACAAGCAACTTTCTTTATGCTAATGTTTTGGTGTTGGAATTTCTAACCAAAAATAGATTTAATTAGCAGTTGAATACGTTGGGTAAGTGTCATCAGAAAAAGCAACTCAGCATCAACTGGACTTAAAACAAAAATGTTTTATCTTGTGAATATGAGCTTACATACAAATTAATTATGTTTAAAATGGAAAGTGATAAACAATCCCATTCAACAGTACAACTCAGCTAACTCCTCGAGAATATATCCTGTAGTTAACCCATTGGTGAGTTCTTCGGTCATATTTCCAAAAATCAAATTTCCCACAGGAGCCACACTATCAGTCTTTAGCTTACCGTAGTCAGTTAGTAATACTGGCCCACATTTCTAAGGATGTTTTGTTGGTGTTAGGTACTTTTCACTTTGTTGAGTGAGGGAGCAGGAAGGAGGCAGGCTTGAAGGGGTCAGACCCTTTATATTTGGGGGCAAATACAGGGCAGGTTCAAGTACTTTCTCAGTAGTGCCTCCCACACACACGGTGTCTGAGGCACACAGGCTCTTTCATATCAAAATATAAAATAGTGTCAGTTTCTGCATTTATTAGAACACTCATCATGGGGTCACTTAGTTCTGGCTGAAGAGTCTTCTGAGACAATTCATATACAACAGAAACATTAACTATTCCTTCTCCCAGATTACTATCAGGGTAGACATTCAGGTAGATCACCAG